TCTCTCTCTCTCTCTCTCTCTCTCTCTCTCTCTCTCTCTCTCTCTCTCTCTCTCTCTCTCTCTCTCTCTCTCTCTCTCTCCCCCTCTGTGTGTGTCTTTGTGTGTCCTTGGTCGATTGGCAGCAACAGCAGAGATCAAGATCACGGCCACATGGCCTCAGCTTGGAGGCGTTCACAAATGCAAAGCAAAGCGGGGCCTTGACAGTGAAGGAAATACGAAAGAAACGGGAGTTTTATCAGAACGCGAAGAAAGTTCAAAACTACCGTAAGCTCCTCAAGCGCCTTGGAGAAGATGACGATTCAGCGGCGAAGCACAGGGCATCGCTCGTTGAGCCGGACTTTGTGCAAACAGAGCACAGAGATGAAGGTGTGGGTATCAGGAATATCAATCGGCAATCTACCGATAATGGCAACATCAATGTTTTCCGGCAGCGGAAACGTTCTGGTCCCTCTGGTCCTGACATTGGTGACGGCAAGCACGGCGACACAGTGAAAGCGGACACTATCGGGAAGGCGAAGAAAGGAAAACCAGCTTGCACTGCAGATGTCAGGAGAAGCGACCCAGAGCGCGGCAACGACTTGGCGGAGCCGATGAATGGAGGCAGGTATGGTTTTGGGGAGAAGCAGAGGAGGGGGGCTCAGAACGAGCGAAGCCTTGCAAGAGAAGCCCAGTCTAATCCTCCGCAGATGAGTGAAGAAGCTCGGCGGCAAACGTTGGACACGGCATATGGGTCCACTTCGGACGAGGACAGTGATGGCGACACGTGCGACGGAGATGTGGATACGTCGGGCCCCCAACAGAAAAACAAGGGTAAGAAGCGTGAGGGTATGAGCCGCATGGCTAGAGAAATAAAGAAGCTTGAGGAGAGGAAGGCAGAAGAGGAAGCGGCGAGAAGGGCGCAAGCTGCTGCAGCTGAAGAGAGGAGGAAAATCCGGGAAGAAAGAGCGTCTCAGAGGAGGGAGATGACACTGAAAATGCGCAAGAAGACGAGGAGAGGACAGCCTATTATGAAACACCGTGTCGATAAACTCCTGGACCAGATACAGAAGCAAACATAGCCACTAGCTGCGGGAGCTGCAGGTAAAGGAAGAAGGCAAATGTAGTAATAGAGGACTTTGGTGAGCGCGGCAACGTGTAGTGAGAGGAGGAGAGCAGGAAGGTGGAGGTGGCCGAGCATTAGGGGGAGGAAGAGCAGCAATCACCTCTGCAGCAGCAGCAGGAAGAGGAGGTAGTTGGGGGGCGACAAGCACAGCGGCAACTGAAGAAGAAATCAGGAGGAGAAAGAGGAGGAAGAGCAGGAAAAGGAGAGAGAAGGAAGACGAGAAAAAGGAGGAGGAAGAGGAAGAGGAGAGAACAAGGAAGAGGAGGATGAAGCAGAGGATCAGGAGGAGGAATAGCAGCAGTCAGCTCTTCGGCAGCAACAGAAGAAGAAAACAGGAGGAGGAGGAAGAGGAGGGAGAGGAGGAAGTGGAGGGAGAGGAGGAAGAGGAGGGAGAGGAGGAAGAGGAGGAGGAGGAGGAGAGGAAGAGAAGCAAGAGGAGGAGGAGGAGGAGGAGGAGGACGTGGAGGGTAAGGAGGAAGAGGAGGGAGAGGAAGAAGAGGAGGAGGAAGAGAAGCAAGAGGAGGAGGAGGAGGAGGATGAGGAGGAGGAGGAGGAGGAGGAGGAGCTTAAATCATATGATCATCTCCTCAAGTGGTTTAATGATGTTGTACTGAAAAGTACTAAGTGCACAGTAATGAATTGATACTTCTGTTGCTGCCACAATTTTGCATCTTTGAAGCTTTGCGTTTGTCGAAGGTGACCAGTGTCTTAGATGTTCTCCACTCTGTTTGTCAGTGAAGATGTACCTTTTGCTTTTGTTCCACTTCCTTCTCAGTTGGAAGTGATATGCATGATCACATCACTTTTATTGAGGTTTAAAATTTTGTGGAAGTGTTAGGAAGAAACAGGTGGGTGTTTTGCCAATCAGCGAGTCCTCGACTGCAACATGTCCGGTACTTGAGTGGAATTGGGAAGCAGTTTACTTCCAGAGGATTTCAAACAGATCTGAGACGCAATCTGTAAAACGCTGTGCTCCTCCTCCTCCTTTCTCTTCCTTCTTCTCTTCCTCCCCCTCCTCCTCCTCCTCCTCCTCCTCCTCCTCCTCCTCCTTGTTGCCTCGTTGTTGTTCCTCCTCGTTGCCTCGTCGTCGTCCTCCTCGTTGCCTCGTCGTCGTCCTCCTCGTTGCCTCGCCGTCCTCTTTCTCTTCGTTGCCTCGTCGTCGTTGTCTTCGTCCCTCTCCTCCTGTTCTTCACCACCACCACCTCCTCCTCCTCCTCCTCCTCCTCGTTGCCTCGTCATCGTCGTCGTCTGCCTCCCCCTCCTCCTCCTCCCACTCCTCTCGTCATTCTGTTGCTGCTGCTTCTGCAAAGATTGCATTCTGCCGGAAAAAGGTCTGCCTGACTTACCGCAGTTCTTCGGCAACGGAAAAAAAAAAAAAAAAAAAAAAAAAAAAACAGTTCTTCGGCAACGGCTGATATCCGTACAGTGTGAGCACCGGTTCTGTGCAATAGTCTTCTTGGCCAATGGTCTTCTTGGCGCTGATTGGTCTTCTTGGCCAATGGTCTTCTTGACACTGATTGGTCAAGTGCTATGTCCAATAGGATCGTCTATAGAGATCAAACTCGGAGTCTGGGACACTTGTTGCAAAGCAGGATTGAACTTCTCCATAGGACGGTCCAAAGTTCTGTATGGACTTCTCTGTGGAGTCTTTGGCGATTATCGAGTTTTCTAGAGAATTCTCACGAGGACTCAGAAGTTGATAGAGCTCTTATTGCATCTGAGTCCGCGTGAGAGTTCTCTAGAAACTCAATTCTCTAGAATCCTGATCTGGATTCGAACTCGGGTCTGTGTTTCAGAAGTTCATGGGTGTACCAACCGAGAGTTAGGCCCGTGGATAGGGAGCTCTATTCATAGAGTTCGAAGGAGAGGTTTGACGACGATTCGTATATTGTAAAAGAACGCTACCTTCTTCCACCGAATACAACCTACGGTCATTCTAGCTGCATCTAGATTCTAGACTTTTTTTTTTTTTTTTTTTTTTTCCATCTAGATTCTAGACTGAAAGATAAGATGCGTCAAATATACAGCTATAATGACCGTACGTTATGTTGGGGGGAAGAAGGTAGAGCTGTCTGCCCACGTTGCATAAAGAGTTTTGAAAGATTGGTATTTTCTGTGACAAAGAGAACTGTTTTTTTCCTTTTTATCTTTTTTTGAGAACTCTTCAACTCTTAAAAACAAAAAAAAGTCTAGAGAGTTCTGAAGGGGCTTTGTGTGTCTGATGTTTTGTAGTAATGTTCTGCTGCAGAAAAAAACAAAAAAGGGACCAGACGTGGTAGCTCAGTTGGTTCGAGCTCTGACGTTGCAACGGGGGAGGTTGCGGGTTTGATTCTCTCGGACTCACCGGTGCTAGTGATGCCTGCTCTTATCAGCAGCACTAGCACTGCAGGGGGTGTGTTAAAAAAAAAAAAAAAAAGATTCTCTCGGACTCAACCTCACTGGCGCACGATTAGTCGGTGCTAGATTGGCACACCACATACTAGGGCCCCCCGGCCTAGCACAGCACAGATGAGCCACTGTAACACACGGGACACATTCCAGATTGTTAGGGGGAAGAGTGCTATCTCATGGGGTACCTGTAGGGAGGG